AAGAAAAAGGGGGAAAAGAAGGGGGCGCAGACGGCAGTGCACTTTCTCGCCGCTCCGCGCACACCTCCAGTATGTTTGTTCGTCAAAATTATATTTTGGAGTATTCGGTTATTTATTACACAGAAATGTCCCACATGACTAAACCAATTGATATATTTTCTTTGATTCTTACCGGCTTAACTTATTTGAATATTGCTTATAGAAAACTTATTCGGCCAATTAATTGGTACAAATAAAACTCATTAGATACTCAAGATTATTTATTAGTCTCTTGTTTTATAGATGTACATTCCTATCGATAAATATTTTTTTCCCAATAAATAAAGCAACTATTGAAGTCACCAGGCCTCTTGACTCGTTCAAAATCATAAGAGTTTGATCATGAAAGTAGAGTGCACTAAATAAATTTTTACGTTAAATATTTATGGATTAAGAAACTAAGTACTTTCCAAGAACGAGAATAATCCAGTTTATGTAATCAGCGGCTGAAATAATTATTACTTTGTCAAGTTCGACACGCTACGTGTGTTGCCGTGATAAGATTCTTTTCTTTCTTTGTTTTTTGTTTTTTTTTTCCGCTACCATAGTAACTTAAACAAGAACTAATATTTTTTTTATTACAACCAAGACATATATATGACTTAAATATTGTACCATTTAAAATAGTTTGTCCAACTTTATCTAAATTTTGCCCAATTTCATCGAAGTTGTTAAGGAATAAACTCATATTCTATAAGAACTAATGAAATGATCCTCTACGTGTTGCTTTTGGGTAGAATAATGGACTAATCGATTAATGAAGAAATGCAAACTCAAATGCAAAATCACATTAAATTACAAAATAGATAGAAGCAATGCTTTTATTCCATCATCCTTATAACAACAACTAAATACATTCTTAGGATGCTAGTTCCTTTAGGTTGCTTAACATATTAGGTTGAAATGCCTTCAAGTAATGGTTGAGCAGCATCCTTAAGGCGGGTAACACAAGTGCTAATGTATGTGAGCATAAGAAGACTCTAGTGAGTTATATTTTAATTTGGCCTCAGACTGAGTGTAACACATGTTAGAATTTAAATATTCCTTTGATTTCCAATCTACTTGTGTTAATCTTATATATATTTATATGAAATAATCAAAAAACAAATCTTATTATGTTAGAGTTTGAAAAAAAATGATGCTTGTCATTGCTCATATATACATAATTATACGTTTAAGGTAGCTAGTGATATGATTTGATTTGAATGGCTTACATAATTTTGAATGATGTTTATTTTGTATTATTGTATATGGTTCTGAACTAGTATAGCGTTTTATGGAGATACTATTCATACTTCTATGTTTTATGTTTGAGTAGATTACTATAAACATAACTCTTATGTATATTATGTTGAGAACGAGATTGCGCACTGTGAAGATATTTTTCCTACCTTCTTGATATATATATGAAGAATATGACGATCTGCTCAACAATGTTGTCTTGTAAATGCCCTTCAATTACTTAAGTAAGCCACTATTTTAAATTCTACTATTCTTTTTAATGTGACATTTCTTTTATTGGGCACAAAAAAAAAGGAGCTATGAATGGATGGAGCGAATATTAAAAGTGTACATTTATCAAGAGGAGGAAAAACCTATTTTTCATCAGCCGCAACTTAGAGGAATTTACGCATCAGAAGGATGGTTCATGAAGTTAATGGAAGAAAATAGGCAGTTTGTAACAAAGGACCCTCAAAAGGCTCACTTGTTTTATCTTCCATATAGTGCACGCCAGTTACAAATGGCTTTATATGTCCCTAATTCTCATAATATGAAACCCCTCTCAATCTTTCTACGAGATTATGTAAACATGCTTGCTTCAAAATATCCATTCTGGAATCGCACTCATGGAGCGGATCATTTTCTTGTTGCCTGTCATGACTGGGTACGAAATCCTTGACCCTAGCTTATTGCATATTTAGTTTACTATAAAGACATTATCGTCTTAAAATGTTTAACAAGTCTCATTTTGCATATAATAATAACATTAAATTTATATTATTAATTTAGGTAAGAAAATTTGAGAATGAGCTTTTGACTTATAATGTGTCAAAATTATCCAACCTGAACGAATAATTGTAATAATAATATTATAACTACTAGGAGTGTTCTAGAAGTTAGGATTAAATGACAAACAATATTGTAAGTTAGATTATAGTTACATAAGGTTGTTGCCTCTCACGTACTTGATATAATTTTTAAAATATAAATATTGTTGTCCTATAAATACATCTAGATCTCCATGCAATATTATCGTTCCTTGAAACCTTGTTTACATTTGTTTTTACAGTTTTATGTTTTACTAATCTACGACAACTCTTTATTATGGATGCATACTTATTTCTACTGTCGTCTCTACGACTTAAAAACCATACCAATTATTGAACCAGTTATTGTATCATCTAGATCAATTTTGTTTTCCTCTATGTTTTCTATAAAATATTTTATGGCTTATTGTTGTTGAGTAACTTGTTACAGGGACCTTATACTTTGACAGAGCATGAAGAACTCACAAAAAACACTATTAAAGCTTTGTGCAACGCTGATGTATCACAATGGATTTTTGTTAGTGGAAAAGATGTTTCATTGCCAGAAACAATAATGCGAAATCCTAGAAAGTTTCTTAAAGGCCTGGGTGGTAGAAGAGTGTCACAACGCCCAATTCTTGCCTTCTTTGCTGGAAATAATCATGGTAGGGTGCGTCCGATACTTATCAAGAATTGGAGCGAGAAAGATAGGGATATGAGGATTTATGGACCTTTACCTAACAAAGTATCAAGAGTGATGTCTTATTCTCAACACATGAAATCAAGCAAGTATTGCATTTGTCCCATGGGATTTGAAGTCAACAGCCCAAGGATTGTTGAGGCCATATATTACGAGTGTGTTCCAGTGATTATTGCTGACAATTTTATCCCACCATTAAACGACGTTCTCAATTGGAACGCCTTTTCAGTTATTGTTGCTGAAAATGATATCCCCAAGTTAAAACAGATACTCTTAGCAATCCCTTTGAGACAATATCTTATAATGCAAACCAACATCAAGAGATTGAAGAGGCACTTCCTATGGAATGTAAGGCCCATACGATATGATCTATTTCATATGATTCTACATTCAATCTGGTATAGCAGGATCAACCAAATTCAGATACCACACCCGTATTAGTTCTCATGTTTTGATTTTCACTGCACTGGAATTCATCTCGATTTAAGAATGGTAAACTAAGACGTGGTTGAGCTGGATTGGAGGTGAGTCACTCTTGCATTTGAGTTTTACAGATATGTTGAGAGATGGACTCTTCAATCGTTTCAACAGAAAAAAAAATGTAATGAATTTTGATTGACTAGGACCCTAGGTTATGAAATTGTGCACTGGTAGGGGAAAACATCACGCTTCGCTCATTTGTCTCATGTTTAACATAACAAGTACTTGTTTTTATATATTTTATACACACAATCAATAACCACTCTAAGTTTTTAACTGCACAACAACACCTTTATTTCTATTTCGAATGCATACATACATACACAT